TACTTTTGGTTGAACTTTTGTATGTTTAGACACAATAAATGCATTGAAATGTTGTTCAAATTGACTATGTAGGAAAAGAGGAAGAATTCGGACTTGAGAAGACGAACTAATGAAATGGCGGAAAAACTCGATTGAATCAGGCAAAAGGTCGTTGATGCATTATGGGACCCCAGTCTCAAAATCGTGAAGGAATCTCATACCCCAGTCCGAGAAGAGAAGAAAAGAAAACTGGCATTATGTTGCCTTATACCGCGGTATCAATTTATAGTACAATTTCTCATACAACGGTACGAGAAGCTAAAGTGGTAAAAAAAAAATGAATTCTCAGACCGCGGTCTCAATTTTAGTACAAACTTTCATACCGCGGTCCGCGAAGTGGTTTATGCGGAAAATTTCTGAAATCTTGGAAATTTGGGCTAAAAGTTTAGGTATAAAAAGTAGGTTTCCAAGGCAAATAAGAAAGAGCTTTTAGAGCACAAAAATTCACAAACAAGACTGAGAAAGAAGAGGAAGTAGACGAAGACTTGATAAATCTTCATCATAGTTCCTCTTTTATCTTTCTTTCATAAATCTATGTATTTTTATTATTTTTATTGTTTTTCTTTGAACAACATGAGTAGCTAGACTTTTAATCTAGAATTTCGTTAGAACCCTATGTTGGGAATCGGGCACATGTACGCAGCGGGAAACAAAAATTTTATGTGAAACAAATGGATTTAATTCACATAATCACATGCCCGACAATTATTTAAACCAATTAATTGCGTACCTTTGCGCTTCCAGCGAAAATTAAAAACAACAATCATGCGTATTAATTTAATCGACAGTAAATCAATTAGCATGCTCGCAGTAAATCATGAATTTCATATATAAACACGAACACATATAAATTCACGAAAACATACTACGAAAACAAACATGTTTAATTTAATCTAATTAAATTAAAACTTAATCGAATATCGGATTCGAAATTTACCTCTTGAAGCGTGAGGTAGGCGCAAGAATTGAAGCAAGACTACCACGGAAACCAATCCGTGCTGTCGGGAGCGGCGACGGCGGCGGTGGTGCTAACGACAGCGGCGCGTGTTGATCACGCGCTGTCTTCGGGCGGCGCGTGAGGGCGCGTGCGTCGTCGGCTTGGGGGCTGCTTCTCGGTTCTTCGACTCTTTGATCTTCCTCCTCTCGGATTTCACCTCGTATACCGAAATCAACTAACTACGTGGCACTAGACACGTAAAAGTCAGAAAAATGGAAGAATAAAATTAAAGGAAAAATACTACCGATAGTATTTTAGGAGCTTGAGCTGCTAGGGTTTGTAAATTATGGTGTGTATCTTTGCAAGAGCTATAAATCATGTATTTATAGTGTCTTGTATAAAAGCCCTAACGGGGTTAAGTTGGACCGGGCCCAACAACTTAAGTTCGTTAGTTCTTTACTCGCTCGTCTCTCACAACCCAAAGATTGGAAAATTGTAACGATTACATTTTCGGATTCATCGTAATGCCCTCGTCAATACGAGTGCCAATTCTCGATTTCCAATTTCTAAAAGTAGAAACCCTAATTCAGTGCACTTTCTAAATTTGGAAACTTCCCAATTTAGAAAGTTCACTAAGATGTTCGCATATTCTTTTCCTTTTCTTATTCTCATTCATAATTCTAAATTACGAATGTTGGACTCAATCATATTGACTTCCAATCATGCAAAGATAAAACATTTTTATCTCTGACCGTTTATTCAAAGATCTCGAGTGCACGAGCAGTGTGACCCTCGATGGTTCTGGTGTAAGCTAGCCGTGGGTCCACAACCCTTTGTGGTCTAAACTCGTCTCTTAGAGTTACGATTAAGATGAAGCTCGTTTCACCTTACCACCCAACGAATCAAGATTGGCGTCTAGCAACTACGCATCATGATTCCCTAGATACAAATGAAGTGCCTGCAAGAACCTTTTGATATAGTTAACGTACAGTACGATCCCTTCGATTCATATGTCCCGATCGAACTAGAGGCATTGGTTCATCGAGACCTCCTTAGTAGTTCAATAACTGTGCGATCGTTCTAAGTGTTGTAATCGGTACGTGCATGACTTAGAGAATCGAATTCTCTAATCATCACTTAGTCAGCTCTGGCCAGAGACTTAGAGATTACAAAGTATGAGAACACACAGTACATCCAAGACTATTCTAGCGATCAAATCCCCGACTACAATGCACAGACCTCCCACTAGATTTCGGACTGCACGAACACTCGCCCTTGGGGCGGTCCTCGGTGGAACTCAGGGACATGTCACGATACAGCTGGTCCTCTAGTGAAGTCACGGTAATGTCTAGGTCATAAGGACTAATGATGTACAACTATACCATAGATATCTCTACTCTATTATTGAGAACCACTTAGAGATTTCTAGAGTGAGGGAGTTCAGTGAACTCGTCAACTTACGAGCACCCACTTATGCATGCTGATATCATAATACCGTTACTGATGAGATGCATTACACATACACTAAGTGCTAGTCTCTTAATGAGAAAGGCCGATATCCTCATTGGTGGCGTAACCCTTCGACTAGGAACACGTTTAACAGTTATAATACTAAAGTAAATATCTCACGATCCTAAAGATCAATTACTAGTACTTGTAATAACTGTAAGGACTATATGTATGTTTGAGACAAAGAGACAAATATTTAGAATACCAAGGTGTTTTTATCATAATTACGAAAAATGATTGTTTATTACAAGAATAAATGGAAAGACCACAACCACAAGTTGACTTGTAGGTCACCTACTCAAACACCCTATGTGGCATTTGTTGGATTAAATTTATCTATTGTGCAAGTTTTATGAGTTATTTATTTCTTCACCTTGAGCGTAATTTATTCATTAAACTGTATAAATTTGTGATTTGTTTTATTGAAGTGATTGATGAATTGCTTAATTATCTAGAATTGTGGGTATAAGAGTTCTCGAGTCAATTTCATAAATCGTAGCATGAATATCTGATAGAGATATATATTTATTCCTTGAGTAGTCGTAATCAAAATTTGTTCTTAATGTTGCAAGTGTTAATTTATTTGCATAGACGTATCGTATATTAGTTATGCATGTTAGGATTATAATTAATCGTGTATTTCCGGTTAATTAATTAAATCATTAGCTTGCATGATTATGAGTTTTATTTTCAACAAGTATACACAGAGGGAAGACGAAACGATCCTAGGTTGTTCCCAATTTGAGTGAATCATCCGTTATTCGATTTTAATATTTATTTGCTTCGCCTAATTAGGTTTTAGGATTTGTAAATCAAAACTCCAATTTTGTTGCTCGGATAAAAATAAGTAGTGATAATATAGATACTTAGAAGTAGAAAATAATTTGCTCCTTGTGAGTACGATATCCCGATTCTCAAGAGTACACTTTATTACTTGTTAACCATACATGCACTTGCGTACGTGAAAAATCACCAACAATATCCAACTTTGAAATCATCATAATGTTTTTCAAAATTTTCGTCTGAAATAAGAGTTTTCGTATTTGTTCTCTTCATCATCGCTTTGGGACCGGTAGGACGATTTAATGAAGGTATTTTGTTTCCAGCGATTCAATGAATGTAGAGGATAACTTGCCAACTAGAAGATTCGTTGGCCCCTTCACTTCATATGGAATAAGCTCATAAATTCTATGTATTTCGTTTTCATGTATTTAGACACACTAGTGAAACTTGAAAATGGGAGATTTGTTCAAGAATTAATATTGGTAATAACGGCCCCTCCTACCTTTTCTGGCAGATTATAATCTTAGTTTGATAACTCCACGGAATAGGCTTTTCTCAATATAGACATGTGAAAATAACTCATAACTAACCACAATTAATTATTACAACATTTGTTTCCTTCTCCAACATTGCAATGATTAATAATGAGATTAATAGCCCTCTGACACTAACTTTCTTGACCAAGAACTGTATAATAATTTCAAGGCACACATTTTGAAAAAAATGAAAAAAAAATCCCGTAAGGAATCGTCTAGTGGTTGGAGCAAATATATCAATTTATCCAAGTTTGAATCATCTTGCCAACGGTCGCTAAGTCAAGTTTGTCACACATGGTTAGCCTAATGGTGATTTACGTCTCTCATACGGTTTGCAAGCTATTATACGAGAGTGTAAATTTATCAAGTGAAGTTTATCCGATGCACCTATACAGTTGGCTGCGGGTTTCTTCATTACCAAAAAGAAAATAAGAGGGTAAAATTGCCTCTTACATTTAACGAGATATTTCAATTGAGTTTCGAATACTTTAATTTGATTTACAAGTCTATTTCTTTTTAAGACAGTGCTGATTTTATTTCATAATGAGAACTAAGATTTTCTTTTTCAAACATAAAACTGCAAAATATGGTCTGGATTTAATTTACAAGTCTAACAAGATATTATAAGCATATATGAAGCTTGACAAGATCGTGCACAAACACTGAAATTTACTTACTAAGAGAACTTAACAAAATGCAAATTAAACATTGTACATAATGGTTTATATCTATGTAGCACGGACACAAAAATGGTGATTAGAGGAAATGGGAAACGACATGTCCAAAAAATGGGGATACGGGAGTTTGGAGGAAACGTGCAAATATTGAAAGTATAGAAGTATATTTCTAAATATGCTATGTAGCTTCTTATTTATATAAGAAAATATTTTATATATTTTCATGCAACATATTTGTTACTATCAGGTATCAACTATCAATATGCAATTGATCGTTAAATCATGTAAATAATTAGGAAAACAACAAAAATATTTGAAAATTTATAATTCAAACATGTTTTTAATTTTTCTAAAATTGCAAAACAAGCTATAAGGTGCTCTTACAGATGTCCCGGAGTTTTCGAAACGCGAAAACATTAAACATTTAAAGTTTCCATATTACATAACTTATAATTCAACAAAATATAATTAAAATAAAATCATGGGATGAAGTGCTTTTTGTCGGATATACAATTTATATTCTCAATGTTTAGAGTATGTTTGAAACTTATTTGAAACACCTCATAAGATTCAAGAACTCATCCTATTCTTGATCCACTTTTCGTAATTCAGACAACAAATTTTCAAATTTAAAAAAATTCCACTTAAGTCAACACAACGTTTTTTAAGTTGACCAGCGCCGACTCAGTTGACGACTCATAACGTGATCCGAGTTAACCCAGCTATGTCCATTTGTAAAAGGGTAAAAAAAAAAACCCAAATATAATTCATCAAAATTAGCTCTTTCCAAGTAAATGTAAAATTTATCATCATTCTCTACCAAGAAGATGATGAGAAGAAGAAAAATCAGGGCTTCGAAGAACCCAGTTAAATTAATCTGCATAATCGTCACCGTTTCATTCATCATCGTTCAAATCATCTCAGCACTTCTTCAGCTCACCTCAACAATCTCCTCTTCCCCCAAACCAGTAATGAAACCCTCAATCGGCGAATTGGGGGAAACGGTGATCGGAATGTTACCTGAAGATCTCGCTTTCACCCTGTTTCTGCCGTCGGAAGAAGCGTTCCGGCGGGACTTGAGGTTGGACCGGAACGACAGCGATTCCTACGCAACGCTGACGCGAGTGTTGGGATTTTCGGCGGTGCCGCGGTGGATTAGTACGGCGGATTTGGATTTGGATTTGGATTTGGAGAGAGTGTACGGTTCGATATCGGGATTCGATTTGGTTGTGAGCAAGGATTTGAAGGGAAGAGTGGTGGTGAACGGAGTTGCTTCGGAGAAGAAGGGTTTGAGAAAGGGGAGTGTGGTGGTGTATGTTATAGATGGGGTTTTAATGGATGCTGAATTTCGCCAGTCGGTGCAGCCTGACGACGACGATGACGACGGATGACCAGTGAAGATGATTATTTTTTTCTTTTTCTTTTTTTTTTTTTTTTTTTGGCAATGAGAAATTCTTTTGACTTTATGCTTGTGGAAGTAAATTATTTGCATTGTCATATTGATTATTATTTAACAAAAAAGAAAAGAAAACCATTTGTAGAATCAATTGGGTTATTTAAATGAATGGTGTAGGGCTGGGCATGGGTCAGTTTTATCGCTTAATCGACCCACTTTCCACCGCTTCTTTCGGTTAATAATTTTGTGCCGGACAGGTAATTTTAACCGACCCATATATAAATGGGTCGGCCGATAATTTTCAATTTATTCAAAAGTCGGTGGGTAAATATTATCAACCTACCGATTTTTTTAATAATTTTTTTAATTATAATATTTAATTGATTTTTTTTTTTTTATAATGTTAAAATAATATATAAAAGATGTTAATACTCAAAACACAAATTTATAAGGGATAATGAGGGATACCCCTAATTTTAAAAATATATAGGGATAGATCCAATAATTTTTTCCACCTAGTCAAAAATCCAAATTTTAATCTTAATTAGTGAGACGCCTGAGCAACTTGAAGTACATATGTTACCCTTTTAATTTCAATTTTAATTCAAACTCTAGTATTTTCTCTCCTCTCATTCAGCCGTTACATCTCTATCCCTCTCTCTCTCTCTCTCTCTCTCTCTCTCTCTCTCTCTCTCTCTCTCTCTCTCTCTCTCTCTCTCTCTCTCTCTCTCTCTCTCTCTCTCCACAGCCCTGCGCCCCACCTCTGCTCCTCCCCCGACTTGCGCCGCCGCCCGTTGATGTTGCTCTCTTCGCCGCCGCCTGTCGACGATGCTGCTCCATCTGCCGCCGCCCGCCGCCGGTGTTCCCCTACGCTGAGAACATGATCCATATTTCGCCGCACGGGATCCGTATTTCGACGACGATTAGTATTGCCGAAGAACAGGATCCGTATTCCGGCCAAATCGGCGAAGGGAATCCGTATTCCGCTGCACGGGTTTCTGGCTTGGCAAGATTGTAACTCGTCCCTTGAAAAATAATGAGGTAATTTGTTGTAGTTTTCGATTGTCTCATGGATTGATGTTGGGCACTTGTATTAAATTCGAACTATGTGAAAACATATATATTTCCGGTTTATTAGAATGATGATTTATCCAATTGTTTAGGTATTTTTTTCCTTAATAAATTGCTTGATGAATTGTTTTCCTTGAGTTTGGCGGCGGAGAAGAACGGTGGTTGGAGGTTTTGCTCTTGTTTTTTTTTTTTGGTTTGTATATATTTTGATTTGTATATACTTATTGTATTTATATGATGAAAATTAATCTTTCGTTTGTATATGAATGTTACAAACATGGTTTACTGTTTTTTTTGCTGTCTGGAGTACGTGGTTTACAACCTTTTTTCTTTGCTCGTGTAGATGAGTTTTATTTATATATATTGTCACATGTAATCCTATATAGTCACATGTAATAACAAGAAAGAACATAACTACATGAGGCTATAGTTGACTAAATGATATTATAGTTCACTAAAGTAAATTAGTCAAAAGAAATGTTTTTCATTGTTTTTGTATTTTAAAAATTTTCATGTAATGTAATTTGCGTGTTCCATTTTTGTTCTTTGTTTTCTTTAATTCGTATTTTTTTCTCACAAGTTTTGCTATTTGTATAACTTTATGAGATGCAAAGAATAAGATGCAGAAAAGTGTCATGTGAAGTTGCATTCTTGCTACAGTACGCCAGACTTATGTCACTATACATAACTATAGATAATTGTAGATAACTATAGTCACATATAGTTATATGTATGCTATATGTTTTTTAATGTTAAGTAATACTTGTTCATGTTTGCAGAATATATGCATGTGATTGTATTTTTCTTTTTTGTTGGTTAGTTGATTTATAATATTAATGTCCAAATTGAGAATTTTGTTGTTGCTGTAGATGAATTTTGGGGCAAAAAGACAATACATGACTATATAACTTGTAGCATACTATAGTCATGTGTAGTAATTCAGTACAGTAAATTTATCAAAATTTGAATTAATGAAAAATATATATATATATATATATATATATATATATATATATATATATATATATATATATATGGGGGCGCGATATATAGCTCCATATATATGTATCTATATATATCTCTCTGTGTATGTGTGGGTCTCCTTATGAGTCAATGAATATAAAAAAAAAATAGTACACGCAAACCCTTTTCCATCTCAAATAATTATATATATTTACTAAAATATATTGGACCTAAAATATATATTAATAAAAAAAATGGTTTGTATTAAAATAATACGAAATATAGTGACTCAAGAAACATGGCTCTTGTAATATTATTTTTGAATAATTGAGTACGCACACACATACATATATACACACACACATATATACGTACACATACATTTACATACACAAATATGTATATATCTGTCTCTCTCAATAGAGAGAGCGAGATAAAGCGGAGAAAGTGACCAGCCCCAACAAAAAACTCTCTATCTCGAAATCGATTTTTGTATAGGCACCGCG